GAATATCCTGGAATCTTCGACCGTCGATATCTGCCCGGAACTTTGCGTCTCTTACGACCGATTCCTCGCGACTCATAATTAGAGCAATCCTGGTTCGGCTCGTCATCAGTTCTTTTGCACGTTCCAATTCAGACAACTCGTCCTCAAGACTAGCAATCCCCTGCTCTAGGCGTTTGATTGATTGCTTCTGGTCGAGATAAGTGTTGTGGTGTCGGTTGGCGCTACTGCTGGTTTCGAGTGGCTTATTTGTACTCTTTCGAGTTGGGTTCTCTGCCATGGCTACACCCAGGTAACACATCCACTGGAGCGCTGAATTACTCGAGTGTATTTCATACGCTAGGTTGTCTAGGTAAGCACAGCCCGGGGGATACCAGAAGCCACAAGAGTCGCACTATATGCCGCTGGAGACTGACATTTTACATTTTTGCGCACCACAAAACTCTGCTTTTGACATTTCTCCACTCATACCGTTACGAAGAAAGTTCAAGGTCTAGGATCCAGAACTTAAGTTCCAAAAAACGTGAGTTAATCTGAGGCTAACCACACGATCGGACACGTGCAGACTTACCGAAATGTTTGTTTGAAAATCTCTCACAATCCGTAATGGCCCGTATAAGTCAAATAGATATGCACTCCGCTTTCGTTCTAGCGGGACTATGTCGATTTCTGAAAACTTTTTGCATCGGGACAGAATTTCAAACCACGCACCTGTTGTAACGCAGTTCACGTTGTTTATGTGAACGTCAACATTTGCCTTTTTTGTTTATCGCTACTGCCACACAGTCGGTTGGTAAGCCTCTACATGCCACAACAACTAGAGTTTCCCAGGATAGTGTCGATGCACAATTTTTTCAACCAATTTATTTCAGCTTTGATCGAAATTGTTGGCTGCTTGACATGGATTCTTTGTCTTTGTTTATAGGCTTGATCTTTCCGCCTGAGTGGTTACTTGAGTAGTGGTGATGAATATCTGTCTTTATGGACAAATACAGTTTCTATTGGACATGACCGGTTAAAACAGAAATTAAGGTAGTCCGTAACATGGTCACAGAGGACAGATAGGTTCTGATCGGGAAACACCAAAAAAACTGTGGTGGCAATCATGGATTCTAGCCTTTCTACGTTTTCTGATGAACGATTTCCTGGACCCACTGATCTTGGAAGGCCTTCTTAAAAATGTGCATCCGGTTAGTTTTCCTCTACACAATGGAACATACTTTTACGATACAATGATCTGAAATGCTCAAAGGAGCATGTTGATGAACTTTATTAATTGCGGTCTGTTTGTAAAAACAAAACCAAGTCGTGAATTTTGTCTGGTGGGAAAATGTACCACATTTTGTTGACCCATTATTGTGAGAGAATTTATTTCATGTCTGTTGAAATTATCAACAAATATACGCAGAGAGTCATGTGTTTTTGATACCATGGAGGCATAAATAATGTCAGAAAAGCTGTTCATGTTAGCCGCTGATATTGTGGGTGACAGGTAAAATATCCCAAAAAGTATGGAATGAAACCCACTCAAAAAACTGGGCTTACATTTGGTGAATTGACGACTGAATTAATCCGTTGAGTATTTGTAGATGACAGCGGTTGGTTCACTCCAGTTGTCATTAACGTAGGTTGCAACATCTCAGCCTCGTTTAGGGACACTCGAGGGACGGTCAACCCGATACAAGCTATATCCATCCACTTGTACAATTTCACTAGGGATTTTTTCGTGCAACCACGAATTCCGAAGCATAATAATTCCCATGCTTTTGTACTCCTTTTCCCTTGTGATTCCTATAACCTCCTCGACTTTTTCCAACAGCGAACAAAAAGTGCTTGTTAAAATAGGAGGAGTTGGCAGTTGACTGGTGCTGCACCAGTGCAAATAGGGTACAGAGGATTGGGAGATGGATAGAAGAATGCGCACTTGGTGCCAGGGTTGCTAGGCTCATTCTAGTTGAGTTCGGAAACCCCAGTATTAGGAATATGCTACTATGAAGTAGTGAAAAAATAGAACAAGTTACTGGGGGTAGATGCCGAATAGTACCAGATGACTTGATTCGCATGACTAAGCGACCCCGTTGATAGGACTATAACTATTACTTCTGTCACCACATCGTGTGCGCAAACCCCCGAAAATAAGAGGCCAATGGATGACATAAGAAAGTAGGAGCTTCGTTGTTACAAAACGATGCCTCAGTTCAACCCAGTATGAATGAATTGGAATTGGACTGTAAGAAAACAGTCCTCAACAGGATGGTTCAGCCAAAAAGTAATCCCTATGAGGATTGGCGGTGAAAAGAAACTAGTGTGGGAGTAAATACCCAGAGAAAAAACGTGCCGGGCCCTCGGGTGCTTCGCCCGAGGGAACTCATAGAGAAAATGTCCTAAACACAGAAGCCTCAGCACTGCGAAAAAGAAGTTTAAAACCGTGGTTTACAAACATCTGCAGTGTTGAAAATAAGTGAGAAGAACTGAAAACCAGATGCCCATACGTGGTCATTCTGTCTGAAGGATGATTGTCTCCAAGACACTTCATAGGTAACCTCATGCTCCCGGACTTTGCCATGTATAGNGGGAGTAAATACCCAGAGAAAAAACGTGCCGGGCCCTCGGGTGCTTCGCCCGAGGGAACTCATGAAGAAAATGGCTTAAGAGCAGCACAACTTGGAAAAGGTAACCATACAGTGATCCACTCGACACTCACCGCCTCTCGCCAATAAGGTCCACAGGGAGTTTGGCAGAATGAATTCAACCAAACTATAAGATCAGGCGGAGCAGGTGGTCTGGCCCAGGTATACAAATCAAGCGGAACTACAGTGCTCGAGCAAATCAGGGAGAACCTGCTTACTCTGACAAAAGCTCATGCCCCGTCAATCAATGAACAGATTGGTTAAACCTTCATGGTGGAAAGCGAAAGCCAGGAAGGTACAGCCGATGAAGAAGTCAGCTTGGGGCTGATTCATTGCTAGGGGAGGAGACTGCAGGTGGGCCAACAGATGAGCCAACAAAATACAGAATAATTGCCAAACAGCCTATGAACTAAGGCTCGCCATCACTGCGAAGGTTAATCCCAAGGCTTTTTCTACTACTTTCCGTCCAAGGCCGTCACACGGACAGCTGTAAGCGACGTGAAGAACCATCTAGGATCACAGGTTACTACGGTTGAGAAAAAAGCGGAGGTTTTCCGCTGTTTCTTCGACCATGTTCACAGCAGACAGACAAAATCCCAATAACATCAGTAAACGGGATCCCAGTTATGCTTGAAGTAGAGTTTTCGCCAGAGAAACTCAAAAAACAGTTGGCGCGCCTCAAGAGAACCAAGTCAGCGGCATCCGAGGAAATACACTCCGCACTAATCCGTTCACCGGCTAAATTTCTGACAGCTCCGTGGCAACCGACCTTTTTCCTACGCTAGACTCTATGTGCAGTGAACACTAGTTGCAGTCATGCCTATTAAAAAGGGGGAGGCAATGCGAATGTAGCGGCTAACTAGAGACCGGTCAGCCTTACATAGCTAATGATCAAAGTGAAAGGTTACTAACAGGATCCCAAGTCAAATTGCTAAAAACGAACTGCTTTCCGCCAGACATCAAGGCTTTTTGTAGAAACGGTCTTGTCTCACAAACCTGATCTTTTT